CTGCCCAGGGAAGTGGTTGAGTCCCCATTCCTGGAGGTATTTAAAAGAAGGGTAGATGCAGCACTTAGGGACATGTTTTAATGGTGGACTTGGCAGTGCTAGGTTAACAGTTGGACTTGATGATCTTGAAGGTCTTTTCCAACCTGAACGATTCTATGATTCTAACTACCTAATCAGAGGATACAGAGAAGATGGAGGCACCCTTTTCTTGGGGGTGTATGGCAATATTATAAGATGCAACAGACACAAGTTGGAACATGGGAAATTCCAAATAGATATAAGCAAAACCTTTTTACTGTGACGATGCTGGAATACTGGAACCGGTTGCCCAGAACAATTGTGGCATTTCCATCCTTAGAGCTGTTCAAGACTTAACTGGACAAGTCCCTGCGCGACCTGATCCAATTAGACCTGCATTGAGGAGGGGGCTGGACCAGATTATGTCTGAAGGTCCCTGTCCACTTTCATTATTCTGATTCTGTGATCAAATTATGCAGAAATGCCTGAGCTTATGCTGAGCTCACTAATTCCAGGATAGAAAGTAGTATAACAGCATTGTTATTATACTGCTCTGTTCAGGCTTCTTGAGGCTTGGAGCTGATTAGCTTAGGTGCTGCTCCACGTCCAAGTGACTATACTGTTTTGGGGATCCAAGCTAGTTTCATTGATTACAGACACAGCAGCATGATCAGAGCTGACTTAGGAATCACTGTATGGCACTGCATGGTGTGATGCAGACATGTCCAGAATATAATTATAACTTCAACTCTGCAACAGGATGAGTGTGGTCAGACAGACTCGCCATCTTAGAATGCCAGTGACATATTGGAGTATAAAACCTTCATTTCGATCCTTATCTTACTGAGAAGAAAATGACTTCAGGCTGCAACATTCGGTGTCATAGTTTTCAAGTTAAAAATGAGAGCCAGTTAATTAAAGTTTTGAAAGCATACTGAGATCCTTACATAAGAAGTGTAAAACAAATGCTAGGTTTTGTTATTCCAGATCTATATCAAAAGTTAGAAGTAGAGAGCCTTTTCTGTGGCCTTATTTGTGTTTTTCTCGCCACAGTTATAAAGGGATGCTATAACTGTCTGTACATTTCTAAAAATGTATGTGTGCCCTAGATAATCAATTTGGTATTTGAATTAACCTGTTCCTTAACCACTTTTTTAGCTACTACTCAATGACACAGATGGAATTTTTAACTTTACTGCAATTAAAGGACTGCTTGGGCCTCCAGTGAGTATATGCTGCTTTATTAAATCTTCAGATTTGCTCTGTTTGTCTTCAGTGTCTCTTTTTAAATATCAGCTAGAGCTGAGTTTCCTGTGCTTTAGAATTGTGTTCCTGCTAACTTCAGCACTAAGCACTGTGGAAGTACTTCAGGCCAGGACTGAATTCTGTGTGAATGAATTACTTTTACACATTTGTATGAAAGAAAAGAATTGGCTTAGCTCTGAATCTGAAGTATATGCTCAGAATGACAGAAATGTGGAACTGATGCAAAAATAGGGACCAAGATCTACATAGCACATCTTCTTTTGGTTTTTTTTTTTTCTGTTCTTGTTTTTTAAGTCATAAAATGTTGGGATAAAGTATTTTTCTCAGTTCTGCCTGAGACTGCAACTAGCAATGCTAGGCTCCTGTGTATGAGTTTAGTCTCACAGCAATTGTAGCTGTGGATGAAAAGCTAGAAATTTTATGAGAGAACAACAAATGTGAAATTTCAAATTCTGGGAGTATAGCTGCAAAACAGTTCAGTCAAATATTTGAAATTCTGAATGCTTCCTGGTAATGAGTTCAAATTCCTAAGACTGGATCCAAAGAGAAATCTACCTTTTCCAGGCTGTGGACTCTATTCAAACTTGCCTGGAAGTCTACGACATATGGCACTTTGCAAAATTTTAATCACTCCAAACAAAGCATCTTACTTCACAGCTAGTTTCATGTGTGGACTGTTGTTTGTATATTTTATTTTATCTGTTTTCTTGTTTGTGAACACAGTTCTCTCTCTCACATTCAATCCCTGATGAAACAAGGAAGACCAGAATGTGTGTACCTGATAGCAGAATTTCACTGTACATAGCCATAGTTTGAAAAAAACATGTATTTTAATAATAGAACTGTCCCAAAACAAATATTTACTAAATCTGTCAGTGAACTGAGAAGAAGGGCATTAGCTCCAATAACAGCTTTTAACCTTTATCTGTTGCCTAACATGCCTCTTTTCCACTTGTCACATGGTAGGACAACATATTATTGTGACTGCATCCAGCTGTGCTTACAGCAAAACAGCTTTCATGGAAGAGTATTTTGATGTATATCCTAAAGACCTGATTCTCCTAATGCCTGAACATAATAGGATGCCAGGACAGGATGGGCCCTCTTGTGTGAGCGCTGTTACCGCAGGTAGTTGCCATTCAAGCCTTAGATGACAGGTTCTCAAAATAACATAGATGAGTGGGCTCATGAGCTCAGAAATGCATTGGCTTGTAATAGTTGCTAGCGTTACAGTCCCAACAGAAAGAAGTAGGTCCTGTAGCTCGAAGCACAGTTGCAATTGGAAAGGTCTTTGAACCTCAGTCTCTGAGCTCGCCCGAGTCAGGAAAGAGGTGCAGTCTCGTAGCGGTTCAGGTAATACACATCCAGGTGATCTGAACAAGAACTGAAGTGTCTCTCTGCAGATAGCACAGTGGGGCAGCCTTTAATATGCCCAGTGCAAATCCAAATCCATGTTTCTATTCACAGCCTGTTACACACTCTATTTTCTAGCCACAGACAACCAGGAGCAAAACGGCAAAGGTGGGAGGGCTACTGTGATCTCTGTGCTGGAATCTGGAAAAGATTCAAAGGAGGTTGAATTATAGTTGCATGTCTTTCATATGTGGAAAACATTACCTTTCTTCAGCCTTACCTGGATCTCTGTCACTTCAGTTTTGGAAAGTAAATGCTAATGTTCCAGAAACAGTTAGAAGCATAGGGCATTGTGGAGTGTTCACAACTTTACCACTGGCTGAATGAAGTTCTTAATCCAGTTTCAGATCAGTTAATATTCACAAATTACGCAATACATGTAAAATGCATACTCTGTTTTGCAAGTCTGTAATATGTGTTTGCAAGGGGGTGGGTTTTTTGCATTTTTCAGGGGCCAGATGGCAAGCCAGGTCTACCAGGATTTCCTGTAAGTATTATGTTCCTTGGATTTAAGTATTTTTCAGTATAGTTTAATATTTAAAGTCTAATAAATTTTCATTTGGGAGACTGTAGTTCTTTATGGAATCAACATCTATGGTAGAAATTAACTGTGCCAGAAATGAAGTATACTGTGATATGCACATTTTGTATTTCTGCTTATCTCAGAATCAGTTCTGTAGTTTAAACCTAAATGTAATTGACTCTCATGAAAAATTACAACCTAAGGAAAAGACCTATGCCATTTACGAGAAACAAATGGAACAAATGGACTTCTAAAAGTTATCTTTATCTGTATATGTAATTGTATTATTCTTTAGGCTTTTTTTGTCACCACTACAGAGTACAGTAAAGCCCTACAAGGTGTACCCTTTTTATTTTATTTTAGGAAACATGTATTATTTTTTACAATAACATACCAATGCCACCATGGAAGCATTGCACAGCCATAATATCAAAAGGTGCCTTATACTATGCTACCTACCTGTTGTGCTCAGACTGCCACACCATATAAACAATATCTGGCTTGTGACTTCATATAGTATTGTTTATACTATTATATTTAGATTCTATATAATGTGATAGAATTATTTACTCTTGTTATGATTGTTTTACAGTTCAGATGCAATGGTCTCAGGATCCTTTGTCTATTGCCTGAGAATAACTAAGGAGAAAGCTGGGAAAGCTGACAAATAATGTTGACAAAATGCTGGCAAATTGCCCAAAATTCTACAGAAGGTTGTTTACTAAGTCCTGGGTATTGTGGACTGCACAGGAAGCCAAAGAAAGGGGGAAAAAAAACTCCTTAAAAATACTTTTCATTTGAAAAAAAGCTGATAACATCTAGAAAGTGATATCATGAATTCTTAGTCTCTCTGTCTCTCTCTCTCTCAGTCTCTCAGAATTTCTACAAACATGAAAATACCATTCTTGTTCTTACCTCAGGTCTTTTCTTTATCTCTTCACTAATGCAAAAATCATGTAGACTTGAATTTAGTTCTTGGTGGGTAAAAAAATATTTCTGAATGCACTTATAATGGAAGATTGTAAAACAAAATGTGATCTGAGTGGAATGCATTTACCACAGAACAGATACAGAAATTATCTCATTTTCAAATATATAATCTTTATTTCAGATAAAAATATTTTTTTAAAATACTGTTAAAAATATAGCTTCAGAAATTTTTTTGAAAGTCAGTCTGGCTGAATGATCGTGGAGGAAGAGAGAACAGAGTAGGGAGGAAATAGAGAATTTTAGGCTGAAATTCCACTCATATTTTGTATATTATATTATATTATATTATATTATATTATATTATATTATATTATATTATATTATATTATATTATATTATATTATATTATATTATATTATATTATATTATATTATATTATATTATATTATATTATATTATATTATATTATATTATATTATATTATATTATATTATATTATATTATATTATATTATATTATATTATATTATATTATATTATATTATATTATATTATATTATAATATTCCACTCATATGTTTGCATATTTCTCTTTGTGAATGTGTGTATCGTCTACGCTGTGCTAAACATCAGGGGGTTTTTGTTTTGTTCTTTTTAACAGATTCTCCCTATACGGTATTTGCTTTAGGGAATACTTGGATTCAGACAGCAATTTAGTCTTGTAAGAGTTCTTAGATTGCAACCACAGTGGTTCAAGTTCAAGTTTTCCAGTTAGTTAAAATTACATTTAGTAAAATAGACTAGCTCCACATTCTTAGCAGATCTCACTATGGATTTATGTACTTGTTTTTATTTAGGGCCCTCGGGGACCAAAGGGTGATACTGGTTTGCCTGGATCACAAGGACCCAAAGGACAACAGGTAAGAGAAAAAAGCATAGGGAAAAGTATATGCTGCAAAACGTGCTAGATGACAAATACTTAGTGACATTAAAAGTTTAATTATTCTAATTTTACTAGGGATTGGGATGTTAAAAAGTTCATGTGAAAAATTTACTAAGTAGAAATTGAAGGAGTGCTAAACAAAATATCTTGATATAATACTACTGAGAGGTAATGTTCCTGCCCCAGTGTGGAAATTCTGCAGTGCAGTATGCACTTATCAGAATAAGTTTGCATAAACATTAAACATGAGATGACCTCTTCTTGCAAGTTGATTGTCTGTGCTGACACCCTGGGATCCTAACCGAAAGGCTAAATAAAAAAAGATTAATCTTTTCCTCCTCCTTTGGCCCAGAGGGCTTTGCCTACAGAATGAAGACTGCAGTTTTCTATTCCCAAAGAAAGTATAAGACTTGGGGAGCTCTCTCCTTAGAATCATTTCTCTTATTTCTGCAGAACAGTGTTTATTTTGTAGCACTGCTAAGGGGTGACTAAGGACTGACTCTGCTGTTTTGTAAATATTGCAGCAGTTGTTCTCGTTTTTGTCCCCTTCTCATCCACCTGCAGGAACCAGGGGAGAGGAACATCTAAGTTATTACAATCCTGGGGATAACAAAAAAGAAAAAGAAAAACAAAAACACTTTCTGCTTATTCTTTGTGTGTAGCTGACCTCACTTACTCAGAAGTAATAGAAAGGCTTGGAAATGGTTAATTATGATTTGAAATGGGATTGTAGATGAACAACATCTTCATTGCTCAGAAGGAAACATCTCAGGCCACAAATACCAGTCCCCTTCTGTCATATGGATTCCTGTTCTTTTACGGAGTGCATAAAATGATCAAGTTCAACCTTAAAACAAGTTGGGTAGTTTTTGGTTTGGGTTTGTGGGGTTTTTTTATTTGAGTGGGTTGGTTTTTGTTTTTTTGGCTTCTGCTGTCCACACTGGAAGGAACTCAAAACTTTGAAGCCATTATATTTTGTACCCACCAATGACATAGTGACATTTCTGAGGCTGTTTCTGAGGCGTGAACACCAGGTTATGCTCAAGAGTGATGAAATTGGGAACGACAATGAAGCTGCACAGACACCTAGGAGCATTTTGCTTTAAGGATCAGAAGATGCTTCTGTTACAACCTCAGGTCCATAAAATCTCACAGAAGATAAAATCAGTGAAGCCAAACCTTAGGGAGACTCCAAAGTATCCACAGTATCCTCAGGGAGACTCCAAATTGGCCTTCATTAAAGATTATGAGGCTGCATCATGCCAGGTATATAGAGAGAACAATTCATACTTTCCTGATAGTAAAATCAGGACACTTAGTGTTCTATCAAGATTTTACATTTCCAGCAGGATTTCCTGACCAGTATCTAAGCTGATGGTACACAAGAAGACACCAATAGCCTGTCTGCCTTTGGCAGAGATTTCTTGTGAACACAGCATGTTTCACATAGTTACTCTATCGAGAACAATTAAAAGTCTTTTTTAAAAAATAAGTACTTATTCATCTCGGGGAGATTTACAGGAGCAGGATATTTTTAGTGTACTTTATTATGTTTTAAGAAAGATCAGCCCTTTTCTCCCCAGAATCAAGCTCCACCCTACTCACGTTGGTATCACTTTATATTTAATATCACAGCATGACTGATCTGTCATGCTTCAAACAGCAGTAATGCCACGTTGTCTTCTCCTGATTCATTGAGAACTGCTTTGTAAACACTGTAAAATTACTTTGATAATTGCAGGGTGAAAAGGGAGAACCAGGAGCTATCATTGCTGCTGATGGATCTTTAAATGAATTATTAGGAGGAAAAGGGGAGAAGGTGAGCTAATACTGTGTTGTGTTCCTCCAGAATGTTGGTGGCCTTGTTACCAGCCACCTCTGCTAGATACTGCAAGAGTTCTCCTTGTAATTGCTCTATGTGTGTCCATCCTCAACAGGGTGAAGCTGGAGTGGTGGGACCAGTGGGACCAATGGTAAGACATTTCCAAAGATGAGTGGATTCTGGGTTTTATTTTGTTTTGGTTTTACAGATAATAGTAAATGTAAAGGTAGTTTGTTTGAGCTTTTCATTCCTTCTGAGTAGGGATGATAAGGACTGTTCATGCTTCAGGACAATCAATGTTCTTCAGAAAAGAATGTGGTTGATATATATGTGGTGCTGTAAACTATTCACTTGATTTGGAATTTAAATTCTGGTAGCACAAAATGTATCCATTACTACCTAAACAGACAGGGAAATATCATCAGAGCTAGAAACTTAAATAACTTATGACTCTGAGTGAACTGTGTTTGTTTAGCCCTGAAGATAAAAGTCTGAGAGGAGCTCTAATTGCTTCTGGCTGAAAGGGAATTACAGAAGGGATGAAGTCAGGTCCTTCTCAGAGGTGCACAGGAAAAAGACAAGTGTCAATGATCACAAGTTCCAGCAAGGGAAATTCCAATTAGATATAAAGAAAAAAATTCACAGTAAAAGTGGTTAAACACAGAAATACGTGCTCAGAGAGATGGTGGATTGTAGAAAAGGTGCTGAGCATCATGACTTAACTTGGAAGTTTGTCTTGCTTTGAACAAGAGGTTGTACTAGATGATCTCTAAAGGTCCCTTCCAATCTAAATTATTCTCTATGATTTACGTTAAAACAACTGACTACATCAGGCTCAATTTCTGTTGGTGCCAATAATTTGCAACTGCCTTGGATCCTGGGAAGCTGCAAATGAGGTAGTAGAGTCAGACCATTTACCAGAATCAGGATTTAGAGGCCTTCTTTCAGGTACTTGGCCTGATATTTTTGACTGGACACAGAATGTTGTATGAAAGCACGAGAAATTAGTTATAAAATAAGAATGGTTGCCCAGACTCATGTAGCGTTAGAGCAGGAATTAATTTCTTCTAGTTTACTATTCCAAAGATCAAGGATATTGAGTGTTTCTTTGCTTCTGCTTTTAATGTAGCCTGGTATCTGTTGTGCCTAAGTGAATGTTAGTAGGTGGTGTCGTTTCTGTGCACCAAGGTGTGTAGGAGATTTTGCCATCAGTTTCCGTCATCTTTAAAAGGGGTTAACTGGGTGTGCTGAGTAACTGCTTTCTTAATTACTGTGTATCAGATACCTTGAGGGGCCTATCCTAACTTACCAGAACAGGAGTTCCTTTTCTCCTCCTTCTATGACTGCAAGATGAGCCTATGCTTTCACTTCAACACAGAGTCATAGAATAATTTAGAATGGAAGTGAACTTCAGAGATCATCTAGTGCACACCACTGCCCAAAGCAGGTGTATTTATCTCAGGGACTTGCCCAGTCGAATCTTCAACATCTCTTAGGATAGAGATTCCACAGCCTCTCTGGGCAGCTCATTCCAGTATTTGACAACCTTCTGGGTAAAAGTTTTTCCTTATATTTATTTGGAATTTCTAATGTTCTAGCTTGTGTTCGTTGCCTCTCATCCTGTTGCTGTGCGCCCTTCAGGACATGTCCTTTTGCTATCAGTCCCAAACTCCGTGTTTACTTCTCCCTTTGTACTGCCATGAGATGCTTCATACAGTTCAGCATGCAGACAAGGCCATTCAGAGGAAGTTCCTGCCAACACAGGTGGAAATGGTTACACTGCAGGAGAATTTAGCACACAAAACGTGTCTCAAGACTTTGCTCAGCCAGTTCGTCCTCTTAGTGCAGAACTCCAGTTTGATCATCACTGCTAACAGGGATGATTCATTTTGGTGTTGTCCCATAGAAAAAATCCCTTTGTAGTGAGTGGGAGTCCTGTGCAGCAAAAATATACAGACTTCAGAGTGCTGGGCCAGAGCCCCTGTGACATGAGTTATCAAAGTTTTCATTATGATGATTCTCTTCCACTTTGCATAAAGTAAGACCCTGGCCCAAGAACAACTTTGAGGCAGCTGGGGACTCTGATCGTTCTTCTGTGCTGTTAGGGCACAATGAACTCATACACAAGTTTCCAGAGTTTGAAAAAAATTCCCTACTCATTGTTCTTCTCCTTTTCAAGACTTCAGGTAGACAGAAGAGAGGATCACAGGAGCTTGGAGCACAAGGAGATACAGAAAAGTAGTGGTTTGGCAGATGAGAGCTAGGGATAGTCAGGAGATCAGTACTGTTATTAGCAAAAGCAGAAGAGACAGAGAATCCAACCTCCTGCCACAGGGGAAATGAGAATCTTTTACCTGCTCGATTATGCTGTTCACTGTCAGTGAAGCAGACCACTGCACGTTACTGAATGGGAGCCCTTAGTAAGAACCACAGTGTCAGTCTGCCCAAATTGACTCTCTGCTGTTGTAAATGAAATTTCCTTTTCTGGTAAGCAGTCTCCTGTGGTTTCCTCACTTCCTTCTTTTACTTCTAGCTGTGACTGCTGGTTTCTGTCTCAGGGAGTCACTAACATACGTCAGGGGTGGGCTGACACTTTGACAGAGGAAATAGTAAAGGTGACTCCAGCATGGTCATCTCTCACATTGTTGATATTTATTTGAAGTCCCAGTCAAAGCATGAAATCCAGACACTTCTCTTTATTCAAACTAATAAAAAAGTCTGTTTCTAATAATCTTCATTGCTCAGTAAAGCTCAGATTTGCATATTCTTTAAAGGCTCAAATACCAGAAAGTGAAATAGAAAAATACCCCACAACATTTTGGATTTTCTTTTTTTCAAACCCCATTATTGGATATGGTAGCACAGAAGGGTGGGTTGAATCATTTTGAAAGCTTGGGGGCACAATATTGAAGTTCACATCTGCCGGAGCGCACCAGCAATCTATTGCCTGCTTTAGACACAGGCTTTAGCTTTGATCATATGGGCAGAAATTACCTTCAAACAGGAAACTAAACAGAAGTTTAATAAAGGTCCTACTATCTTCGAACAGTTTCAGCTGCCATTAGTGAACTGTAAACTCTGATTACAATGGTGATATTATGAATCAATATGTTCACATGTTAAGCATTTCTGAATTTCATCTCTAATCTAGTTTTCAGTTTTGGCATGATAAAAATTACAACAATTAATCCATGAATTTCAGCTTGATGCTAAGATAAATCATCTTATCATCATCAGATAAATTTTCCATGAATGTACATCACTTTTCAATGGAAAGATACTACATAAAGGCAAGAACAAACACTTGCCAGTTTCAAAAAAAAAGGTTTTGTTAATTGGAAATTGTATCATTATGGCAACAGTTTAATTCATGGATTGGTAAGAGACTGGTATTTGAATCCAGATGGTATTCCTGTGTCAATATTCTGCTGATCAGATGAGATGCAAAGCTCTGATTATGCAAACAACCCAAGTATAAACATCAGGCTATTTCTTGCAACCTTTCTAGCTCTTCACTTGCCTGTGCTCCCTCTATGCCTTGAACTGGGATATAACATGGCAACAGAACTGGGCTATAAATAAGGATACTCAGTTCTGCCACAGGCTTTCTTCCTTTTTAGTCTCCACTTTCCTTAATAATCAAAAACAAGTGAATGGCAAGACGGGGATTTCCTCTTGTTTTTCGATTGTTTGCTAGTTATCCTTTGAAGTAGCAGTCACAATGCCAACAAAGGTTTGTTACCATTAAAGTGATGTGCTGAAATTGTGGTAAGCAGTGCAATAGCCAGTGTCTGTCTTCCATCAGCACAGGTCTGTGTTAACCACCATATTGCAGGTAGAAATAGAAAGTCTGATACAATAACTACACCGGAAGTACTGTGATTTCTTGGGATTAAACACGTCAGTTGTCACCTATAAGTGGTGTCTGCATGAGATCTATAGAAAGAGATTATTTAACCAATAATTCAAGAAGGGGTATCTCTTAGCATTTCACCAGACTGAAAAAAAGGAAATTACACCAGAAAGGTTGATACATATGTAAAGAGATTGTCTAGACCCTTGTGGTTTTGTTGAGTTTCAGGAAGCTGACAGCAGATGAAAGTTTGTGGTATCCTCAGGTTTACTGCTTTTTATTGATCACTTGCTGGCTGCCTAGAAATTGCATGCTTGCAAATGGCCAATCATAGATCATCCACAGTCCTGGACCACTTTTCCCAGGCAGCCTGCTTGCCCTTTCGTTTTGCAGTCACTTGTATCAATTTGTGAGGCCCTATGGGTCAGTCACTCTTGTATAAAGAAGGATCTGTTCTGTTTCAACTATCAGACCCATAAATCCACATACTCAGGCTGGCAAGAGTCATGTAGAAACCTGTCGCTATATGAATTCTCAGGCTGATGCACAGACATTTCCTCATAGGGCCTGATTAAAAAATAATCAGAAAAACAAAGCAAACAAAAAGGAAATGCACAAAGCATACACCACTAACTGCTTTTTTTCTACTGATCGATGCATTTAATTTTCTTTTGATACATGGTGACTCAGTTTTGAATTGCACACCCTTCAAATGGCTGAGAATTCAGACCTCATTTCAGATAACCAGTCTTTTCCAAGCCAGAGCTGACTGTTATATGCAGGCCTCAGCCTCTGAGGTCACTCAGCAGAGCAAGTACAGAGGACATTCTGTGCAATCTCTGCAGACAATCACAGACTGATTTTTAATGCAAACATAAAACTATGCCTCTTATTCTAAATATTCAAATATATGTTAAAGATATGTTCCATATATTCTCCATAATCACATTTTCTTTTTTGTCCAGGGACCAATAGGACCTACTGGACCTAAAGGAGAACTTGGTTTCCCAGGACGTCCAGTATGTATTATGCTCTCAAGTGGAAAAAAAGATAGAGGAGCTTGCTTCTGCACATACTACACTATTTCTACTTATTTCAGGGCCGCCCAGGACTGAATGGACTGAGAGGTGTGAAAGGTGATCGAGGCGAAGCATTTAATGTAAGTTCTTATGTACTGCAATTAGTTAAAAAAAAAATCCTGTTAAAATCCTAAGTCAAGTCTGATTTATACGAATTTCTTTAAAATGAAGACAGGACTAAAAACCTGAAATGATCTAGAAACAATTATATGTTTCTGCAACTTTTGTTATCTGGTAACAATCATTGAAAAGTCAACTTCTGGGTCCATCTGGACAGTTCTTCCGGATATACATAGTTGTATCAGCTCCCAGGTATAACAGTTAATGTATGATTCACTGTTAGCATAGCTGGTTCAAATAGCAAATGATCTGGGATTGCGAATTCTTTTCTATATTTCAAAGACTTCCTGATCCAGGCCATCAGTATGACCCCTCATGGTGTGAAGATATTCCCATAGGCTCTTAGCTATCTAGCGCAGGTACAAACAGCACTTGAGCATATCATAGTGAAGTGGCATCTACTCTACTACTAACAAGGACATACTTGCTAATACCTACTACCTGCTTTAGATGCCATTTACACGTACCCAGAATAATGACCACTGCATAGATGATAGCATATCCATGCCCACCTACAACCCGTAATTACAGAATGACAAGTGATGAACCAAGGTCCTGGTGCTGCAAGTCTATTATTATGAAAAGACTTCATACAAGTGGTCTCATGGCAAACATGAAGACTGGACTACACAACAGTAAACACTGCTGAGCATAAGCAATAAGTTTCACAATACCAGAGTGATTTGTGTGGCTGTTCAGATGTCATGGGGCAATCTGTCCTAGAAAAATTGCCACAACAACAACAACAACAACGATTGCCCATACCACAACAGCAGCTAATAATATTTCACCTGCATCAGAGAGATGCTGAAAAAAAACAAGGGTATTTTACTGTGTTAGCATAGAAATGATAAGGTAGGGATCAGCTAGGCATCAGAAGAGGTGATCTAATCAATCTCACTGTATTTCAGTAGAGCGCTTTTTGTAAATTAATTCTGTTGTATGAGTCCTCTGGTTCTACTTTGTTTAAAAGAAAAAAAATACATGGCACACAAACTGAAAAACACAAGTATGTTATATATCTTGACAATAAATACCAGTGAGATGATGATATTGCTTTTTCTGACTAACAGGGAGACTGAGAATTGGTAAATACTTAAGTATCTTCACAGAAAGAAAAGACCAGGTACTAAAGGTTGCTTACACCTCTAGAGAAAGGTGTAAAAAGAAATTTAGTTGCTGATAGTGAAACCAGACAAATTAGACAAATTCTAATTGGAAGAAAATGACAGAAAAGATTACTAGCCACTGGCAGAAAATATTAGAGTTTCCGTTCCTCCATATATTCAAGTATCGTCAAGGTTCATTTTCTGGATTGTTTGCCTTAACCAAACAAAAACTATTAAAGCAAGTATAACTAGACAAAGTACATCAGGCTGGGAGATTAAAGCAAACACGTAAACAAAACAGGATACATGTTCTAATAGTCCTTCCTGGAGTGCTCAGGGAAGATAAAATCTAATGGATGTCTAATTATCGATGAGATAACATGTGTCACCTCACAGAAGCTTGCATTGATGTGGAATGAAAGATAGACATGGCGTGATGCCAGGTTTTTAAATGACACGGTAAAGAGCTGGCATATTTTTTTTTAAAGGGTAGTCACGCCTCCAGTCTAGCAGGGTTCCTTGAAGGTGCTAATTAGTGTGTAGTTATCTGACTGGCACTTGGAAGTATATGAATCTCAGCAGTCTCGAGAATCCCAGACCAGTCTCAAATACCTCATTTTCCTTGGATGAGAGATCCACTTCCTTTAATTTACTTTCAATTTTTAGTCCTTTGGGTTTTCTAGTTTTGGATTTGTTGTGGGGTTTTGGTTGTTTTTTTTTTCCCTGGAAACAACAACCTTAGACCATTTTGTTCTCCACAAAGTGCTTTAGGTTAAATACTAAAATTCACCTGACAGGTTGGTCCCTGTAATTGAAGGCACAGTCTCCCCTCAAGCCATTTAACATAAAACTTCTTGGTTAAATGGGGCCTTCTGAGCCCCTTGGCCTTCTTTCTGTAGGCTCATTTGTATTGCATATGAAAAGATCTGTCTAATATCTTCCTTCTTTCACGCTCTCTGACCAGGGCCTTCCTGGCTTGCCTGGACCCCCGGGGCCCCCTGGACCTCCAGGACGTATAGTTTATATCAAAGGAGTAAGTACAACTGGGGATCGGTTGCTGGTCTGCCTCTGTAGCAGAAATGTGCTGCTCTAGAAACACTTTGCAAAGGGAAACATCAAAACTTATTTCAGGCAACACAGTTTACAGTGGGTGACCTTGCTTGTGTGCATAGGAAAAAATCTCTTAACCAGAGCCACTGTCTTGTAAGAGTTTTGCCCCCACAGTGAGACCTACTGACAGACCTGTGGGAGCTCCCAGGCAGCAGGTTGGGCACTCTGCTCAGGAGGTGCTGATTTTTGTTTTGACAGCTTTGTCCCATCATGTCTATTAGATCTATTTAGTGTGTTACCTGCTGTACTATACCTACATTCATTAAAATAATTTCCCTTACTGTTTACAACAGACCGTTTTCCCAGTCTCTCCCAGACCTCATTGCAAAATGCCAGTAAGTCATACACAGAATCTGCTCTTAGCAAAATGCATGACCATGACAGTACATAACCAAAGTAGCTATATATGTAACCACAGTAGCTTTGCAGCTTTTTTCCCCCTGCCTTCTGCTTTGCACCAGAGATGTGTTTTACCTAGTCTTCAAGGTAACAGATTTTCAAGTGTTTAGATACCCCAAATTAGCTGTATATAAAATATATAACAGAACTAGAAACACTAGAACCTTCTGCTTAACACACTTTGACTACTCGGTTGTCCTAACGCTTTTAATGCCTTTCAAAGTCCATGTTTCTATAGTTTAAGAGTTGCTTTGGGAGCTGAATGTTCATACATACATGTACACACATTTTTCAATGTATATATAAATACCGTCTACCTGTTTTTGTCTTTAGCTGTTTTCAATTTCCCTGTCCAAAATAAGACTTTTTATGTATTTCATTGTGGCATGAAAGATGTATCAGAAAAGAAGGATCGTGTTCTTTATTTGACCCTCAAATGGACCTTCAACTTCACACATAGTGTTAAAAGAAAGAAGATGGAGTTTATATTTTCAAAACACTCTGATGTAATTTTTGTTTAATGAATCATGGAAATTACATCCTGTAATGAACTGCAAACAGCGTTCAGTCCTGGAAGTACTTTTCCTAGGGCAATATTGTACTGTTAAGCTGTGGGTTAGGTACTTGGAAAGGATTCTGTCTTTGAGAGCCACAGTCCTCCCCTGAACAGTGTGGCATGCAGTATGGCTGTTCTACTTTTCTGTTAGACAGTATAGCTCAAAATAGTATTGTGCCCCCTCCTCCAATTTCCATTACAGTTCTTTTTCACTTATTTTAGAGAAGCAGCTCTTGACTTACACTATGCTAGATGCATTGATACTCATCATCACCCTACCCTTACTGCTGAAGAAAGATGTATCTCAGCTTATGGATCTTTATGTTAATTAATGATAAATAGTCATTACTCTATGGTAATTTGACATTTCTACAGTTTTGGCCTACCACCTCCAGGCACCATCTTTTTACCTCTTTGAATTCCTCCCTTAAATCCTCCCATTCCCACCGTATAACATTCTTGTATGTTAATCACATATGTCCGTAATCACATATGGATTAATCAGCCTCACCTCTGAAACCTGACTGGACGAGGCCCTGAGCAACCTAACGTAGTTGATCCTGCTTTGGGCTAGACAATCTCCAAAGATGCCTTCCAACCTCAACTCTCCTATGATTCTCTGGGGAATGATTCAAACAATACAAGCCTATTTTCGCTGAATTTCAGATAATAATAATAAGTCACTTTTCAAGAAGGTTACAATCAGTGAAAAAATAACAGTAACTTTTATGTGCACAAGTAATAGAAATTTGTACTTATAAACACCTCTTCGTGCATCTGAGTATGCTAGATAGATTTGTCCTACATTTGTGAATAATCTCCTAAACCTGTCCGAGTTTATAGATAAGAAGTCTGCTGTACATGCCTACATAAATGAATATCGATAAAGAACTACAGACTGAACCCCACAAGTTTTCCTCATGTGAACTGAACTTCTGAAGTTAATGGAGCTATCCATGTGAGTAAGACTTCTAAGAGCTAATACTACAGGACTAGCCAGATGCAGCACCTTCAATTTTTTTTCATACACTTCGTTAGATTCATATAAATAGTACTAGCTAGTACTAAGATCTGTCCATTTCCAAGCACTGTGCCACGTTTTAACTCCTGCACTGTCCCTGTTTTGAAGACAGGCAGTAGAGGTATGTAGCATGCCCACTGTTACAGGTGGCTGGTGTCAGAACAGCATAGACTAGAATAGCTTCTGCCTCCCAGCTGTGGTCTCAATATATCTGGAGCATAGATCAACGTCAGACAGTAGGCATAGCCATGATCTGATGAAAAATTTACAAACACAGTCTGTTATCTTACAGTCAAAAATCAAATCCTGCTTTCAAATGCCGTAATGTAAATTTGGAATTATTCTTGGAGAAGGAGTTTTCTGATGCTTCACTGGCATGACTGAGAGTAGGATTTGCCGATGCCTCCAAAATGCATGTTGTTACCCTCTTGCTGACAGCATGTTGCATGTTAAAAAGAGCACAATCCTGAAAAATCTTGATCAGCTAATACTTGGACCTCGTCAAACTGACGATAATCCCAGAATGTTGTTATAATATTTACTGTGATGGCATGCAAATTTTCCAGGCTTTTCAGTCACCTCAAGTGACCAGCTTCCATTGGTTAATGTGTATGGATAATTTTTAATAGATTTCTTTGTCTGTAGGTGAGCACTCCTTACCCTGGAAATCAAGAAGCTCTTAAAGTCCACAGTGAGTAATTATTTTCTTGTACCTTGGTTTACATAAGCTTTTTATGTTTTTGCTTATTTAAGCTCTTTTTGCTTTTTCTTGGCTATTTCATAACTGGGTTTCTGGGAAAAAAAAAAAAAAAAAAAAAAAAAAAAAAAAAAAAAAAAAACAGAAAAGAAAAGGTGGTCTTGCTTCTTTTTCTTGTGAAACTGTAAGATCATATCTTGGTCCAGTCTCAACATGTAGGCCAAAGAACAAATGAGCCTAGGTCTGCACTTTGAAGACTAAGATTTCTAAATTGAGCAGTGCAACACAGTCTCTGCAAGATCTAATCTTAGAAGTCCTCTGTCAGAGCAGAGGTGTCACACATGGCTGCGCCAAATCATTACTCTCTGCTCTGGCAATGCTCCTAAGATGCAAATTCTAAAGTCCACCTGATACTACATCCCACCAAGAAACCAGGTGGTCTCATTCCTCCAGTGTTTGACTGATGGTGTGAAAACCATTTCCCTTCTCTGAGTGACTGATATCAAAAAAACTGAGCTTGTAATCAGAGCTCCCATCCTCTTACTGGAAAGAAAATTATAACAGGCAGGGTCAACACATATTGGCTGCTGGAGTCCCAGAGAATATTGCTGAGGGAAAGAAACACACTATTAACAGGTCTTTCGGGGCGGGGGGTGTTTCTGGGGTTCGAGAGTGGCTAGGACAAAAATCTGACAGGCAGACAAAGAAGGAAGTAAGACTAATGGGGAAGGAGGATGAGAAACTCCATACATGAGGACCCTGGGGAAATTGTCACAAGGCTGGAGAAGTTTTGTTAGTTTTCTCTCCTTTTAATGGAAGGAGGTTTCAGGACAATAGAGGGTCAAATTTGTGGGGTACAATGATGCCCTGAACTTTCTTTCTGAATCCGTACTGCTGAATGACTGACTCACCTCTTACAAGTGAAAGCCTAAGTCTTGTGCTTGGCAAACTGTCCACATTTCTTCAGGGCTATGTCCACAGAATTAAGTCCATAGAGTGTAGCCTGTGCATTGCTCCTCCTAAATTCAAAGACTCCCAATTGCTTGTCTCCCCCTGCACAGACTCCAAAAGATTTCCCTGTCCATATTTTTGTTTTTAACAAAGAATCCATGATCTAACAGAATAAATGCCCAGAGAGAGCCCAAAGTTCTTGGTTCAAGACATTTTCCTTAGTTCTAAGAGTTGACTACAAGCTGATAAAGGACATTCTGCTCTTTTTAGACTTTCAGCCTAGGTAAAAGCTTGAAAGTGAGGATGTTGACTATGACAATTTTGTTTAAAACTTGTCAGTTTTATTCAATTAATCATTATAGTTTCTTTTCTCTAAATGCATACTGATTCCAAACCCAAACAGTAAATCCTAAAGTCATTCCAGCATGCAATCCTTCTTTCTTTGATTTAAGGAGGAAAAGTCACCATTTACATACAGTTTTCATCCCATTTTAAGATTATTGTAATAGTCTGACCATTCCATTCTTGAGCTAGTACTCCACCAGGTAAGCACAAAGTGGTCACTTTGTGCACCAGGCATTAAAATTAAGGCAAGCCTGTGTCTGTGGTTCAGTGCTTTTGTCCTTCCTCAAAGACATGCTCCAAGGATGGATTCAGTTACATGCAGAGGGAAACAGGTAGCAATTCTGTGGGAAAAAAAAATGGTGAATGTTGATTGAAATAGGGCTGCCTTGACCAAATTGCATGGAAGTCCTTCTAGTTCCAATGGTAGCAGAAAGTTCTGTGACAGTTTTGCCCCTTCAGAGCTTCTTGGAGCAGGAAAAAAAGTTGGGACATTAAAACTAAGTGCCAGAGCATCCCCAGGGAGCAGCCAGCAGCTTTCTTATGATCCAGAAGTACACAATGGAGAAGAAGGTCTTCTCAAGATCACAGAGGAAATGAAGTCAGTGGTCTTTCTCCTTTTATTTAACTACTTATAATAAAAATTTATTCCTGCCTATTTATTATACTTTCAGAGTAATTATGTGGGAAAAAGCAGTACCGCAGCCTCTAATATACAGCCTGAACCTCTTTCCCAGTTCCCATGTTCCTGGGAATTAAATTATTGTTCCCATCACAATGCAGAGAAGTCTGGAGAGTTTACAGTTTAATCAGATAGGTCAGAGCCTGCATGGCAAAAACAGTGCATGCAAAACAAGTTGAATAATGCAGCAGTAGTACATGTTATACCAGCTCCAAACACTGGGGCTTGGGACTGTTTCTGGGGGAAGAGATGGCTATCTGGGCACCAGCTCTAGTGTGGTCCAGAGAGTAGACAGTGGGCTGGTATCAGCAACTGGAACAGCTCCTCTTCCTCAGCAATGACTGAGACACTTGGAAAGACCATGCCACCTTGATTCAAATGGAAAAAGTAAGGAAGAGAAGGAAAAGAGTGCAAGGGATCAGGATAAAGGGCAAGAATGAACATAGTAAGTGGTAAAGGAAGACATCTTGAAGACGAGAAAGTTGTATAAGCTCTGTATTGGTCTCAATATTTATTTTAAGATGACCTAATATACTGATGACTGGACTGGAAATCCATCTGGAAAATAACCCTGAAGATGTTACAGTTGGACAGTTAGGGTTCAGCTTGCAGCTAGGAAAACTGTCTAACTGCACACCTGAGAGATTGTGTGACTGGCCTCGGTGCAACACAAAATGAGGCCCCACTGTTCTGTCAATAGGCATTTGAACATGGGCTCACAACTGGAGGCTGAGTCAGCAGACACATCATGGGGAGACCCACAGAAGTATGACCAGCTTTCACTTCTCATGGCTGAAAGACAAAAGAGAAAGGTGAAGAGGAACTGGATGGAAACTTCCATTGTAACATGGGGCTCTGAAACGGAAGAAGTACACCTCATTCTTCTGTAGTTGTAGCCATTCTGCACAACTAGAAGAAGGAAAAGTTCTGTAATAATTTTTCAAACTAAGTCTTTCTTACCAGTGAAGTCTTATTTATAAGTGGCACCAGGTCACAGAGCATGGACTGGGTACCCAAGCAAGAGACCGCTTCTGTGCTCACCCCAGTGAAATTCACAAGTGTTATCAGACCAGGTTAGAAAAGAGCCAGTGTTCTTAGTGATCCCCTGACTCCCAGCATAGATCACAACGGAACACAGGGGCTGAAGATATCACAGGCACTTCAAGCAATATGTCTTGTATCTGCTTGTTATTGTACTTCAGCACCCTTCCTGCTCATAACTCAGAATAGGACCACCTCACCTTAAACTTGAAAAGGCATTTCTACCTGAAGGAAGTGGCTATAAGATGTTACTGTGGCAGATTGATGTTATTTTACATGAATGTTGCAAAGATACTAGCAATTACTCAGATAGAACAAAAAAAGAAATCAGACCGAAGAACTCTAAACACTCAGGGGTAATTTTACCCAGATATTTTATAGGGTAAGGTTGCCATGAAAGTTTAGCAATATCTGGAAAAATAGAAGGTTTATCCAGATGTAGGTGCAATTCTACCCTTAGCTCACCCAGATGGAAAATTATGCTAAAAGCATTTCTGTTCTCAGAGAACATTTTCTTCATTATTAATGCTTTTATGACATGAAGGAGCAATAAACGATAACATTTTTGACATTCACAGTTGCAGATATTATCATTTATTGGTCCGTTTTGGAGGCTGGAGATAGTAGAAGATGTGGTATCAAATGCAGAGCCATAACTCAAGAACCGTTCCTACACTTGCCCAATGAATTTCACAAATGCAGTGAGAACAGGTTTGTTCAGAGGGTCTTAGGCTAGGTGGTTAGGGAACGGAGAGTGAAAGATTGACTTGTAAGAGAGATTGTCTTGCACATGTTGCGGTTGATGATAAGAGAGGACAATCAGGAAGCCATTCAATGTTCATGAGAGAGTGAGACAAGCATATAGGGACTGGAGCAACGTGCCCCACGTATGGAAAAGTCTGCTCTCACTTTGGGTGGTTTGGTTGTCACTGCTACAGTCTCTGCTGTTTGCAAGTTCTCATGGATTTGTGATGCTTTTATGGCAGGTGCTAAAGCAAACAGAGATTCCTGGGGGCTGCACAGTTCAGCGGACTTAAAAGGAGAAAAGGGAGACAGAGGTGCTCCAGGACCACCAGGTATACTAAATCTGATATGTCATTGATATCCTGTAAAGGAATACATGTTTAACTTACTTAACAAGCAATTCAACAAAGTACTTTGATACTTACCCCTGCAGCCTTACCTGCCTAAAGACAGGTACCTAGGAACCTAGGTTCCTTGCTGAACTGACACAAAGAACAACAAAGCCCATAATGTTATCAAAAATGTCTTCTGAAAATAAGTATCTGTACTGCACATTTGTGAGTATTATGAATGTGTTAAGTAGAAGAATAGATATTGAAATGTAACTGGCTGGTCAGAGATTTCAAGAAATCTTAGAAGGATGTCATGTGCACTTCCTGAGATATTGTTTTGTTGTCAATCTTTTTGAGCCAACTGGGCTAAAATCCAGTGCTTCCCATTTCAGAGTAACACACCTCTGCATTCTGAGTTCAAGGCAGTCATTTGTTGGTGACACTCCCACTTCCAGTAGGAGGTGGAACTAGATGATCTCCATTTCAACCAACTTTTTAATATTCTATGCTTTATTTGTGATAATCATGAAAAGTCTGTGTGAACTAAAAATACTAATTCACTGGTGGTAGAAGCATCATAACAGATGTTCCTCACCAAAGATTTACTTTTCTGTATCAAAAAGTTGATACACATTGCTAATTCTTACACATTCAAAAATAGTTACAGAAACAAGCATCTATTTGAAAAGACTGCTATTACAAACTCTTCCTTTTCTATATATTTTTTGAAATCTCATATACTGAGATAAGGCTTTGGTCAGTGTCAGAAATAATTTGAAACAGAAGAAGCAGTATATCAAATTAATGTTGCTATACCATATTTATAATCTTTGTCCTCTAATGTGTTGATAATAAACACAAAACTACATCTATATGGATATTTCTGTCTTTGTTCCAAAGACACAGTTCTGTTGACTGAACATGGTATTTTGGTTATTTTTAAGAGGACATCTGTTTATTCTAATAAAATCTGTTTTCTTGTCTTGTCTTCATTAATTTTTGTTCTGATCAATATCCAGTGCCTTGAAATAAGTCATTAGTGCTTCCTAGTCATCAATAAAACTGTAAAAAGAAGAAGCAAGAAGCATACCTAAACAGAAATTAAGAAAATTTTCTTTTCTGTGCTGGTTTATCCACCATGAACACGTCTGTTCCCTCCCAGGTTCTGTATTTAGTGCAAATTAATGTCCTACAAGTATTTTTGTCTATACCTGATGATTTCAGGTGCTTCAGAAGGAGAGGTTTATGAGAGGATTATGCTTATGATCTTGTTGTAAAACTGCAGCTAGTGAAGGATGGTGAAAATAACATGAGAATTCTGGTTAAATTGAAAACTGAATTCGCCTTTCTCCAAAGGTAACAGGGATTTATTCATATGTTTGCCAACTGAATCCAAATAGCTTGACTATCTTCCATATTTTGTGAAGTTAAAATATATTAGCTGAGACTAATTCTGTTGCTGCTCTAAAAAATATTCCTGTTTGGTTCTTGCTTGTTGATGTAGTTGCTAAAACATTCTTTCATACAAACCAATTCTCTACGTCTCACAGATATCCACATAATATTTGACAGTGAAAATTCACAAGCTAGAAGTTGCAGGGTAGTGGAACATGATTAAAGTACAGGAATTTTTCAAAACCTTCTTTGAAGGACAGATGGCTGAAGCTCCTTCCACTACAATATCTGTTGAGTTCCAGCAATCAGAAAAGCTTCCTGAACTGTGGTACTTGTCCACGCAGTGGATTTATTTTTCCTTTTCACAAAATGTCTCCTCTCCAACCTTACAAACAGGCTCTATTAATTGATACCATGCAAAAATATGAAGCCAACATAAAAAGTGGGTAAATGGCAGGCCGCACTTTATTTAGCTACTCTGTATAGAGGCAGGTGTAGTAAGTATCCAGAGCATAGGTGCTGTGTTCCAACCACATGCACAATGCTCCAGCACAACCCTGGTGTTTCTGGCTGGAGGAGCACAGTTTGGAGCCTTGTAAGAAAACATACCTAGAAATAGAGGAGGAGACTTCACTGTGTCATAGTCTCAGACCCAATTGCCTAAGGCTGAAGATCTGCTACTAGAAAATGCAGGGTTTATTGCAGTGTGCTGGCCCTTGACCATAGTCAACTCCCTTCCTTCCTGTGGGTCATTCTCCAAAAGGCCAACCTGGCATACTGGACAGGTTTTGACACTCATCCAGATCTGCCCTTTTGCATGTTTGTTTGTCCTGAGACCTTCTTTTCTATATGAAGAAGAAGTTTCACCATTTTCTCTGTGAATTGTGGAAGGAATGGAGCTAAAGGAAAATGAATGAGGTGGAGCAAGATCACTTCTCACTGGGCAAGCATTAATTCTGGTAATAAGTGAGTTCTGTTGCTCTAGGGGCTAAGTTAATTTCTAGATCAGATCCCAGATCTGAAAGCAGTGTAGCTATCCATTTTCTAAAAGGAAGACCACCAAAGTTCTATGACTTTATGATTGTTGGGAGGGCATGATTTCGCCATTGATTATGCACATGCAAAGTGGTGTTAGTATGTTTCGGCAACATCTGAAAACAAACTGAAATGAAAATGTCTGGTCTACCAGCAGAAGCCACACAACAAAGTATGTTTCCCTCTGGCTAGTGTTAAGATCCCTAAAGGTCCTGCCAAAAATTGCTTTCCAGCCCTCAGCTGAATGTCTATAGAAGAAGGCTGAACTAGGTTTGCCCATTGAGAAGCCATGTCAGGCAAACTTCTCTGGCTGTGTGTACTAGTAAACTAAACAGACCCAGGACACAGAGGACAATTGTCCTGCAGTTTCATTGTTCCCATATTTCCTGGTCTGGATTCAGCCTACAACAAGTAACGCTTTCCCAGACAATAGCATGGTCTGAGGGATAGCTTAAGCCAGGGATTTGTGCAATAGGCTGTATGGATAACTCTCTCATGCTTCGGGAGTGAGGAGGAGAGTTTAGTGGTATGGATGAAAGCTGAGCCACTTTACCTCAGGGCTGAGGAACCGGTCTAATACAGTTTACCTACCAGTGTAGGTAGAGCCTACTGGTTCCCTACAACAGATTTTTGACTTCCACTTTGAGTGGTGACCTCCCTCTTCCTCATGTACCTTGCCCAGGCCTAGTCTGCTTGCTGGTCATCCTAGAAAGACCTCAGATATTGCCCAGTGTAGAGACTAATACTAGCAACATCTGAGAAGGACACCTACCATTCCATTCCACCTGTCTGTTCCCCATCCCCTCACATGGATCAAACAAATCACTGCAGTGAGATACAATTGGCAGGGTTGGAATAAAATTAAAATAGCTGCCATAGTGGGAATACATTTCTGTCCCAGAGTACAGATGTATACAATGTCTACTTGACAATTGTGTCTGAGATAGTGTACTGAGATCTGAATGCTATGGCTGGCATAGGGTTGGACCCAAAGATCTCAAAAATTAATCAGAACACATTTGAAGAAAATGCATCAAGCTGTTATGGACAGCTGTAAAACAGGTTGGTTTTTTTTTTCCCAAGCATATGCCAAGCAGAGAATATTTGAAGGCTTTTTAGACTTTTTGTGCTGGCTTGACAGCTTTGGCTGACCACCATTGGCAGACAACACAACACAGGTGGTATAACCATTGATGCTGGCATTGGGTTTTGTTGCAGAACAATGTCAAGGAACAATTATTCTATGATCAACAACATGGCAGTAACACTGGTTCTTTTTCTTGTAGGTTATGGTACTGTCCTTCCATGAACAATAACGCAACTCCAATTGGCCACCCCACTGCTGGCAAAACATTTGGAAAGCTTTTCTTTTACCTTGGTTTCCATCAAAGGGGTTAATTTGAATGCTTCTCTTTCACCCTCTGCCCAGCTGCCATTTTTTCAGGAAACTGAATTTTTCATCTTTGAGCATTCTTTGCTCTCTTTGCCTGAAATTCACAATCAGATTCAGAAATTATTAAGGTGGAGGAGTGACAGAGAAGATAGGGCATGTAAGCCTTGCTTTGTTAGGAAAACAAACTAAAAATATCTGTTAGATTTAAAGGTTAATGTTATAATTGTAAATAATTTTCCTTTAAACTCCTAAACCTGTAACATCCAAAGCAGTGCTTTTAAAAAGAAAATTACAGATAATTATTGTACTTTATTGTATTTTCTTCATTTTTCAGGTCCACCTCTGCCGCCATCATATTTCAGCCACTTTATTAATAGCATAAAGGTAATTATATCCCATTTGCGTTTGAGTTCTGTTAAGCTTTTTCCAAAGTGTACTTTACTATAAATTAAGCATAAAATGGTATAGCATGGTGAAATATACAAAACAGATAAAAGCATCAGCAATTACAAATGATATTAATTTCTTAAAATCCAGCTACACAGGTAAGTTTATTACAAGCATAAAGATAGTAGATGTCAGTAGTATATAAAGATTACTTTTAAAAAAACTTTGTTACTGAGGCTTTTTACCTTCCCGGTTGTATTAAAGTGAGTCATAATTCACTGTTACCTAACATAAGTTGATATAAATTATCTGCCATAAATGAATGCTTTTGTTTCCATGCCAGCTCAGGTAAGAGACATCCATTACCTAAAGGGCTTCTAGAAAAATGTAGCAACAATTAACACATGGGGAAAAAAGAATCACTTCTGTGTAATACTATTTCTCTTTTAAACACACTGAATAAGTTAAAGTGATGGAAATGACTTTTCCTGGAATCTCTTACAAGAAGGTATACCCATACCTTGATGTGTTTGGTCTCTCTCTGTTCCATTATTCTCCTGACTGCTTCAAGTGACAAAAATGAACACCAATGCAATATTATTTTTAATGTTTTTATGTGAACAAGGCTCTTTATCAGTAGAAGATCTGAAAAAAAAATTGAATCAAGTTATCATTTAATGATGCCACCAAAAGCAGTGTACTATCTGTTTCCTTGAAGGACTCTTAGTGCCATCTGGTTTTCAGATTTTGTTTCTGCTTGGCTGAGTGCACCTAAATTATTCCTATGGCATAAGGTGCCCCATGCATGCATGGCAGAGCTGATATGGCTTCTTTGATCTTATAGAGTAGTGCCTACAGCTTTACAGCTTTAGCTACAAAGAACTCATTTTTCATCTAGTCCTTCATCTCTGCTAAATGGCATGCCCTACAGAAAGCTTTATAGTCCTGTTTACTGGGAAACTAAAAAGAAGAGAAGTCAGGAGAGGAAGTCACTGGCTTTCTACAGCTACCTGCCATTCTTGCTTTGCCCTTTGCCTCTTCTCTTTGCAAGTTTATTTCTCAGAAAAGTGAAACAAAGTAGACCAAAAAAAAGTTGAAGGAAATAAAATAGCAGACAAACAGAAGGAAATAATGTGAGGAGGAACCTACAATTGCTGTGGCTCATTTTGCACAGAGACATAATAATCTAGTATTTAAACGCTTCTTCTTACCTATCACTCTTTTCCCCAAACTAACTGATAATCAACAATGAAGGACAGGAAAACAGATGCAGTTCAAAGTGTCAGCAATTTTGTGTGGTGTCTCTTCTGTTATCCTGGTACACAGCCTTGCCCTTCTCTCTCATCCTATGCACAGTAATCTTCACTTTACCGTATACTTTTAAATATCTGTCCATTCCATGTCCATCGTGCTTTGCTTTTTCCTTGATGAATGAGAAAAGCAGAAAGCCAGGCTTTTATGCTTCCTCCGACTTTGTCTTTGCCTCCAGCTACAACACAGGACACGGTTTCGTTGGGTAGAATAGCAGGAAACAGCAGTAGAGGCATTTTCTCTGACTCCACCTAACCCCACCTCTCCTAGCCCCTGCCCTGAGAGCGCCTTGCACTCTCAATAGAGAAAGCATTCCTTTTCATTCTGTATCATGGAAAAAGGAAGTGATGTCAAAAAGACTTTAAGTAGATGCTTTTCTTTAGTAAGTTCAGAGATTTCATAGAATCATTAAGGTTGGAAAAGACCCTTAAGATCATCGAGTCCAACCGTTAACCTAGCACTGCCAAGTCCACCAGTAAACTATCTCCTCGAGCACCACGTCTACCCTTCTTTTAAATACCTCCAGGGATGGAGACTCAACCACTT